ACCCCTTATGGTGGGTATCAACCACCAGGGATCACCAACCAGGACCCAAGAAGTGGGAAATCGAACCCCATAACCTGTCTCTTATACACATCTAGATGTGTATAAGAGAAAACTTATTAGCTAATGTAATATTAATAATTAATAATAATTCATACACATATCTGTAATTGCAAGGTGTCTTTAGCAATTTTCGCTATACTACCTCATTCATCTAACAAAATTATATAAAATTAATTAATATTAACGCGTAATCAATATGTGATCAGTGATTTTAATGATTATCCGAGTCTAATTCGGGTCAAAACCCGAGTCAAGGAAATGAATAACCCGACCCGACGGGTTGGGTCATGCGGGTCACGGGTTACTAAAATTGTTAGTACCGACCCGATTTAAAATTCACTCAGGTTGAATTATCCGGGTTAGACCCAAATTTTGCGGAGCACTAGAAATTAGTAAGGGAACAAAAAAATAATACGAAGAAAGAAAAAAATGATAAACATACATTTTCTGAAGAGTACAAAGAATCAAAATCCTAAATTTAAGAAAACACACGAAATTAACAAAAGAGAATGAGAAAGAAAACAAAAAATACAGAAAATAAAAAAAATAAACACCTGTATCCTCAAAGAATCGCAAAGAACCTAAAGGAAAAGAAAAGAAGGACGAAATTAGCAAAGGATAAAGAAGAAGACAAAAAAATTATATCATAAATACCCACCTTCTCATGAAGAGCCGCAAAAGAAGCAGAAGCCTGAAAGAAGAGAAGGACAAAATTAGCAAAGGATAATGAATAAACAAAAAAAAAAAGAAAGAAAAATATCTTACCTGCAAAGAAAGAAAATCTATAAGAATTGGTGAAAGGAACTAAAGATCCTTGAAATAAAACTAAAGAAAGCCGCCTTTGGTGTTGTAGACCAAATCAAACCATGTCTGCGGTCTAGAAATTTCGAATACTACAAAGTCATAGCCCAGGCGACAATACAGGTGATAATACAGGTGACAATACAGATGATAATACAGGTGATAATACAGGCGATAATATGGATGGTGAAGTAATAATACCACCAACTGATCTAAAATATCTTCTCGCTGGTGCGATAGCTGGTGCGGTAAGTCGTACTGCAACAGCTCCATTTGATAGACTTCTACGAAGAACTGCAAGAATTGAAAACTTAGAGAAAGATGGAATTAGTAAAGGAGAATGAAAGAAATGAAAAAAGAGACGTGATGGAAATACTCTAACTATTTACCTTCCAATGGAATCGCAAGGAACCGAAATCCTAAAAAAAAAGAGAGGAAAGATAAAATTAACAAAGGATAATGGAAACAAAAAAAAAGGAACTGAAATAATAAAATACAAAAATACACACCAGCCATTGCATGATGAACGGAAACCTAAACAAAAAAAGAGGAGATGCGTACAAAATTAGAAAAGGAAACCCCAAAAAAAAAGAAAAAAAAAAAAAAAAAAAAAAAAAAAAATACACTTACATTTCTGTGAAATGCAACAAGGAACCGAAACCCTTCGCAAGGAGAACTGCAAGGAACGGAAATTTAAATGAAAAAATAAAAGAGGCATACAAAATTAGAAAAGGAATCTAAAAAAAAAAGAAATAAAAAGAAAAGAAATACTTGCCATCGAAGCCCTCGTAAGAAGAACCGCAAGGAACGGAAAACCTAAATGAAGAAAGAGGAGAGGCGTACGAAGTTAGAAAAGGGATCCAAAAAAAAGAAAAAAAAAACTTGCCTTTCCAAGGAACCGGAACCTTTCGCAAGGAGAACCTCAAGGAACGGAAAATCTAAACGAAGAAAGAAGAGAGGTGTACAAAATTAGAAACGGAAACCAAAAAAAACCAAAAAAAAGTAACACCTTCTTTCTGTGAAGAGTTGCAAGAACTGAGATCTAAAAGAAAAGAAACGTATAAATTTAGCAAAACGGAATGCAAAAAGGAACGAAAAGAAACAATAAACTAAAAAAAAAAATTCTAATCTTTCGTGAAAAAATGCACTTTAAAAGAAGCAGATGAATATTTTTTTTTTTTTACAAAAAAAATCGATAATCTTTTGATTATCTAATTAAGAACTGAACTGTAATTTCAGTTCGATTCAGGTTAAAAATTCGGTTCCGGTTCCGGGTCAGGCTTAAATCCAAAGAACCAAACTGGAACCAGAACCGAATGTCAGGCCGGTTCTGGTTCCTTACTAAAACCGAACCAAACCGACCCGTTCAGACAGTGTTGTACATTTTTGATGTCTGCAGCTTTTTTTGGTTGTCCCAGACATGTCCGCGCTCTGTCCATACTCTTCTGTAACTTAAAATTCTTTACAAAAATTATATTTATTTATGCATAATTGGATGCTAAACATTTTTGCTAAGTATTGAACAAGGTTATCATAGAAAAATTTTGAGGGGTTATCATTTCTTTTTTGTGTAACATGTCCCAGACATTGTCCCGTGACAACACTGCGTTCAGAGCTTTAATAACGAGTATACTTTAAAAGAATTGATTGGAAGAATTCTATTAAAATACGAGCAGAAAATAAAAAAGGAACAAAAAAATGATAAAATAGAGATTTTGAATAAAATTAATATTAGTTTTATAAATATTTTTGAACGAGAAATCAGAAATTTTGATAGGAAAAGAAAAGATATGGGAATTAAATTAATTAGAGGGGTTTATAATAATAAATTTAATAATTTAACAAAGTTTAATAGTAAGGAAGTTAGATTAGTCATTTATGAATTATGGGAATTTTGTTATGATAGGATGAGAGAAGAATTTTAGATGAAACGATATGTAGAGGTGAATGAAATTGAAAAGATTAGGGATCAGTAGATTAGATAAGAGAGAAAAAAGGAAAGTGAAAGATAGGGAAAAAGATGAAGAATTAGAATTAAATAAAAATGAAAACAAGAAAAAATTTAAAAATGATGATAAACAAAAAAATAGAGAAAATATTATTAATTAACGATCCGTTTAAAATCGGCACGGTTTTACGATCATTTTATAATAAATTGCGGGGTTAATAACGATAATAAAAAAAAGCCATTTTTAAATCTAACGCGTGTAACAAAATTCCACCCCACTACATAATGAAAACACACTACCCAGTAATTATTTCTCTTGTTTCGCCAGGAATACTTGTTGAGAGACTTCATTATGGCCCATATTCACACTATTGGTGGCAACTTTCACCTCTTTTACCTGCTGAATCTAAAAAAGATGAGAAAAATACATATTTTCCCATTCGTGTGAACCAAAAAACCAAGGCAACTCTTAACAACCATGAATTTACTACAACAATAGTTGTTGGCAACAAAGATAACAATAATTTTTTACCAGGTTATGTGTGTCAATGTGAAGCTATTGTAGAAATTGCAAATGATCCAACTACTGCTATTTCTGAAGTTTATTCTAAAGTTTTTGCAACAGAAACACGCTATTCTGGTCTATTAATTATGGGATGGAACAATGAAAATATAATAAAAGAACTGTGTGATGATGTTTCTTTTATTTCTCAATCGTTTTTACTTGACAAAATCAAAATATTTGTTTATGGAACGGGATATTCATCACACACAGATTGGTTTCATGCTGGACCAGGATATAAATCTTCTCTTCTTTATAAATTCAATGAAAATAAACAGGCATTATTTGTTTCCAAAATTGAAGAAGACTTTTCGTGTATTCTCAAAATTTATCAAGATCAAATACTCAAAAGTACAATTAAAGGCAAAAATCCAATTGATGTATGGAAAACTTTGGGTTTGATAAAAAAATTCAATGGAAATCAACTTTTTGGCGTTGAAAATTATGTAATACAGTCTCTAAATAAAAAGCAAAAAGTGCTAACTTGTTCACCTCAAGAATGGAAAAATCCCTCTATTATGGAATCACTTTTTGATTTTCACCTAAAACGAAGAACAACAGTAAATATTGATTGGTATCAATTATTTGTAAAATGAGACAAACAAGAAAGTTCTCTAATCAAACTACATAATGAATTGCAGATTATGTATACTGAAAATTATAAATTCAATATACGAGAATTGAGAGCATGGAATGCTTTTCTTCATGCAGTTGGCGCTCATAATGTAACTCCTTGGTCAAATGATGATGAATGTCAGGTAATTTTTTGATATTATTACTAAAAATAATTTTACAAACAAAACTAATTATAAATTTTATTATTAGTTTCAATTTTGGTCAAAATCCAGCCATCCAGAATAAGATCATGCGTCACTTACCCAATTATACAAGATGGGATTTCTCGTCAAGGATATTTCAATGCCTCTCAAAAATTCAACTCAAACTTTTTGGCGATGTTTTAATCTTGCATTAGAGAATAATAAAAAAAATTATGATGGAAAAAGACGAGTATTATCAATTATTGCAGAGGACTTTACCTATGAAGAATTACAAAAAAATTTAGGAGTGAGTATTCAACATAAATTCTAATGTTATAAGAAATACAAAAAATAATTCAACAAATTATTTTTTAAAAGGTTGGACGACATACCATTTCAGAATCACACAAACATACACGAACAAATGGTTATGGTGCACCTTCACTGAATAAACCAATTTTCCATCGAATAAAACTCATCACTGAACAATTACAGCAATTTGAATTGTTTTTTTCTATAAAAGAACACGTTAATATGAGTTCCTATAAAACTGACAGTGCAAGTGGATTACCTGTACTTTATTTGCAAGATCATAAACAAGCATTATGGGAGAAATTTTATGAACAATATCCTAATGGAATGCATAGAACTACTTTTATGACGCGATTAGATGGTAAACGTTTTGTATATAAAGAAGATTTAGGTGGACTTTGTTCAGAATGCAATGAATGTGGATATCAAGTATTCGCAAATATTGAAGAACTAATAAATATCAATATTACAGACCTGGTACTTCAGGTAAAATTCATACAATTCAAATAAATGTAGTATTCAACTTACAATTTTATTTTTTTTTGTAATATATAGAATGAATTAATTGTTGCAGCTCAAAATTTACGACGTTATCTCAGAAAAGATTATTCAAAACAATTGAATGTAACGCAAGATGGAATTGCAACACATAATTCTTGTATATCACATTGCCTTCAATATGCTTTTGGCAATTGCCAAGAAATACATTCCAACACCTGCACCAATTGTAAAAATCTATTTGTTTTTTTCAAAAAATAAAAAGAATATTTGCCATCAAATAAGTATGAAGATCTTGATAAATATCAAAGACAATTGATAGCATTTATGTCACATCATGCACGTAAAACTTACCTAAATGCACAATTGCCTGCCACCCTTGCCCAACTTAATTCTGATGAAGCTTTGATTATTGTAGATTACAAAATGCGCATTAATCCAAAAAAAGCAAGAGAAACAAAAGATGAATGGTTTGGTAAACGTGGATGGACTTTACATTCTGTTTTGTTATATACAGTCAACTCCCTCTATAGTCACTCCCGTTATAGTCACATTCTACTATATAGTCACACCAGTTGAATGTTCAAAACACTTTATTATTAAAATCTATCCTATATAGTCACAATCTATCTATAGTCACTATCACACCTATCCTCAAAAATCTTATATTAAAAAGAACCGTTTATAATCACAGTTATATAAAGAATATATTAAATAACTTGGCATCTAATAATCATACAAAGATGTATCATAGCTTGTTAGAATCATCTCACTGAGACGAATCGAATGGTGGTAGTTTTATCCTTTTCCTTTGCTAATGTTTACGGCCAGACCACCCATTGCCTCTTATGATACTAATTTCGGGTCTGTGTCCTATCATCTTCAATGGGCAACCATTATACCGAGTACTTAATTCCTCAGGTAACAGCACCACTATAGAAGACATCCCCCATCGGGCCATTATAGGCTGATCTGAAGCTAGGTACACGCCGCCTACTCATCCTATACCCATTGCATGATACTGATACTCAATTTATTTAACAACCTTTAGAGAGCATCTACTTTCATGGATGACTTTCGACAGGTAACATCAACCATCTAGTACCCTTCCATACCACCATTTTAGGTACTAAGTCTCACTCAAAGGCCACTACAGCCCGCGATTACCTAGCACCGATAGTATAGTTGTTTACCCCAAGTGGTATACTTTGTAGTGACCACTCGGACAGGAAGTAGCAGGCTTCTGTCCAGGATCACCCCTTATGGTGGGTATCAACCACCAGAGATCACCAACCAGGACCCAAGAAGTGGGAAATCGAACCCCATAACCATGCTACCTGTTCTGTGCACGAACACCTTGGTTGGTCTAAGACCTAACAGAAGGTCAAACTACCACTAAGACATTGCACCCTCAGCTTTACCATCTAGGATGACCATCTAGCCATTACTGACCCCAAGTGGTATCGTGGAGTGACCACCTGAACAGGAAGTCCCCCCCAAGGTATAGTAGTAACCTCAAGGACAGGACTGCGCACATACCAATGGCCTCATAGGGAACGTTAGAAGGACACCATGACCCTTAGTTGAAATGTGCGGCCTAACCGTACACACTAATTCACCATGATGCAGTCCAACTACACTAATCCCTGTACCTTCACGCTATTGGTTGTAGCGTCCGCAGTAAAATTCTTTTTATTTCCATGGTCATGGGAATCGAACCTGCGACCTCACCATACTCAGGCTTAATGAGGGTCTCAGTGACTAACCACTGAGATAGGGTGACCAACCCTTTTAGTTTTATCCTTTTCCGATCACTGGCTGACGAGTTATTCAACAAAATGTTAAACATCGGCATTATAATATTTCTTGATTTACGTTTACTGCGCCATTTAACATTTTGCTAGATTTATCAGTACCTAGTGATTGTAAAAAGACGTTTTATAGCTCGTTGGAATCGCCTCATCGAGACGAATCGAATGGTGGTAAGCTCATCTCTCTGTGATCAATATTGACGGAGGTATTACTTAAAAACCATTTAATATTTTTTAATTTCGGAAATTGATCTAGTGATTGGATTTCGATG